GTATTTATTTATTATAGCATTAGGGGTGAAGCAACTCAGAACTTTTCTTCCCTCCCAAGTGTAAGCCTTATTGCTAATAATACATATACATGTTCCTCCTCCTACCAAAACAGACTCTTACTAGGTTTCCCTGAGAAGATGGTAACACATTTATTACTCCTGTTACTTTATTTGTTTAGAAAAGCAATAAACCACTCCCAAAGAACACTTAGAACTTACCAACCTCTTTTCCTTCTCAGCATACACCACACAACCAAGCACTAAAATTTCCTAAGAACAGCAAAAACCTCTCCAAGTGACCTGACAGCCACTTGGTAAAGCAGCAGACCCACCTTGTTATTAAATGATTTCACCTGGGAAGGAACTAGAAAGCCAGCACAATCCCCTATGGATACTGAAGAAGTTGCTGGGGGTAAAGGTAGTGTTATAAATGGAAAAATCACAAAGTGTAACCACTGGAATTTGTTCTCCAAAATGTTGTTCGTGTATTGCATAGCAACAAAAGGCTGCGTCCAAGATTGAGGCTGTGTTGTACAAGCTGTAGTATAAAAATGTAGGAGAACAGAGTTCCTACCTGGAGGAACTTATGTGAACCAAAAAATACAGACTGCAAGGAATGACAAGTGAACCTGCAGCTTTCTGTTCCCAGCTACTAGAAAAGCTCTTCTTAAACTCAGAAGTACTAATCAACACAGCTCTGTAGAGCAGCTGAATTAATTAAACACGTGTGAAAGCTAGGCTTCCAATTATACTAGTACTTTACAATGCTGCATCATCTTCTATCTGAGGAGCTAAACAAGGTTTTCAGGTGTTAACTAATTTTCACAATAACTCAGGGGCGGGGAGGGGGGGGAGAGAATTATTATCCCCATTTTAAAGCTAGGGATACTGAGACACCAACAGGTTACCAATATGTCTAAAGGCAAAGGGTATAGCAAAGTTGGCAGAGAACTCCTATGAGTGGGCTTTAACCAGGAAGCCATGCTGACTCTCCTAAGGTAGCCTCTTTCTTCTGCTCACAGACACTTCTAGGCAAAAAGATGACACCTAGTCACAGGGGCTTTGGTTTAGTCCTTGAAAATACTTTTAGTTATGGGATTAAACAGTCTACTAAACACATAACTAAAAAGTATATCCTCCTATTGGTAATAAAGATTATTATTGCTAATTATGGTTGAGCACTGACAATAAAATTAGTGTTGTATTGCATTCAGAGTATGCAGTGTCCCTACACCAAGGAGCTTACAATCTGTTAGGCACAACAGTACAGAACAAACCATATGGCATTATATTTTTCAATGTTATAGGTATCACCATCTATTATTAAGGTTGCCCGACACTTCCCATTATAAGACCCTGTTTTCACTGGCTTATAACATTACCAAGCTTTGACTATTTGGGCTGACATTTTCCATGCTGGGTGCCTCAGGCTGAATATATATATATTTTTTTTTTTTGGAAAATTTCAGCCAAAACTGTTCAGCTGTTTCTGAGAATAAAGACAGAGAAAACTACTTTGTTTTGTCCCTGTTACAATTTTCTAGCAACCTATCAAGCACGTGTGAATTGAGTTTTTTTTATAACTTGACCTCATTTGGGCAAATTTTCACAGGGGCAAAAGACAAACCTGGATGACCCCCTTCCGTGCCAAATTAAGTTTGTACTAGAACTTAAAGCCTGGCAAAGTTATGAGCAACTGAAAATAAAGTGTTAGAGTGGGGAAATGTTGGGCAACCTTAAGTATAGGATGAGCTACTTGCTCTGACTATAACAGAGCTTTAGGCCCACATGACACGCATCTGTCTGATGAGGGTCACCTCATAACTAGTTCTCTTCTGTGGACTGAGAGCTGACTCTTCTTTAATTTAATGTTGGGGGAAGGTTGAAGATAATTTCTACCCTTTGGCCCTCAGATACCTGACCTTCATGGTACTCTTAGTTTTTTCTGGAGAAAAGAGCTAGGAGATAGTTGGTTGAACCAGGTGACCATCAGACTTGAGTAGGGAAGCAGAAAAAAAGCACTTAAGGCTTCTTTTATTTATGGGAGCAGCAGAGTTCTGGACATTCTGTGACTGAGGAATTTACTTTCTGTAAGGAGAAGATGGGTTCTCTGCTCTGCTTAGTGACAGAAAAGCCTCATGTACTGCTGTGCAAAGCAGGAACATGTGCTGATGGGTAACCTGCTTGTTCTGTCTGGAATTGAGGTTCAGGAATTCAGTTACTTCCAGTTCAGTGTTATTGAGAAAGGAGTATTGCTGATGATGGTGCTCTGCCCAGGAGTGGTCCTAATGCCTCCCCAGCCAATAAACTCTTTGCTATCTCCCCACTTCTCATGCACACGTGCATGTCCACCTGACAGCCACGGCACTCAAGTTATATGATTGTTAATATTAAGTTCTGCTAAATTATTGTCTCAGCACAAAATTAATAGTGAAGCTTTCAAACCAAGAGGTTTTTACTGCACTAAATTATTAAAATGAATAATACAGTCAATACTTTATCATTTTAATAGTGAATTCAATAAAAATATCTGGTTCTGAATGTTTTCCAATTATCTTCTGCTGCAGAATCAAATATTGGTTTGCTGTACACAGGGGAGGAGGGCAGTGTGAGATTTCACCCTGAACCCTGGCTTCAAAGTGCCACAACATACTAAATTACCCCATTTATCTGATCTTTGGTTAATTGAAAATCCTGGTTATAACCAAAGATTGGTTAAATTCCTTGCCACAATCTGCACCACATAACACTCCCTGCTTTATCCAAACAGCTTTATGTTTTAGGCGTTCATCTGACTCTGAAAGCTTTTAATGAAAAACAGGGTTGTAGTGTATGTGTGTGGCCTAATAATGAACTGTTGTCTTTGTTTGCTGAGTAGTCTGGAGTATATGTTTCAATTGTTTTGGCTTATTTTTTGTTGTGCAAATAAATACTTTTGTTCTTCAAAACAGAATATCTCTGAGAACTTGCTACATTTCTCACCTTACTGACTGATCTTTGTCACCCTGCCCTGTGGGTGAAACAGCATATTATCAATGATGACAAGCTGATAACAATACCAAACTGGAAAAGTTTTAGTCAGTACACTAAGTACAATCAGAGACAAATATGGAAGAAAGTCCCTTTGAGTACAGAGTCGATGCATGCTGTATGTGCTCAAACGGCTACGAGAAAAGATAATCAAGCACTGCATGATTCCTTAATAAGTACACAACTAAATATCATTAGGCCACTGCAACACAATATGAGGAGCTGGAAGTGGTTAGCAAAGTGATCATGGAAAGGACATAAGTACAGAATATCATTTCATTTCCAACAAATGCCAAAAATTAGCTTCTATAAATATATCCTTAAAGTACTGCAGTTATTTTTTTATTTCAAATATGTCTCAATGCCACCTTTTTTGGAGCATGAGGAAGTGGAATGAAAGATTACATAAACTAAGTGAAGGGTGCTCATTTTGCATGAATTTCTAAAGGACAAGCTACAATCACACTTTGAACAAATACAGAGAATGGGTAATACTGAAGGTTTTTTGTTTTTTTGAAATCAAAAAGAAACATGTTACAAAAGTACTGTGGGGAAAGGAGGAACAGAGCCAATAACAATTATCTAACTTGTAACAACTGAGTTACAAAAATAAAGCTAAATGCAATATCAAGTGGATTTCAAGACAACAGTTAAGAGCAGAGTATATAGAATTTGTGCATCAATTTAAAAGAAGTCACTTTAATCACAAAGCAAAGAGTACAGAAGCTACAAACAGGGCCTTGCGTGAAGAGACCAGTTAATAATACAAAAAGCATTATGTCAAATCTAACTAGGTACCAAGTTTGGTAATTAAAGATTAGCCATTTTTGGACTGTAGTTACCAGTTCAGCCTCACAAATGTATTGTGGCTGTGGGAGATTTCTATAAATGGAAGACAGATACACCAAGCTGTAAAGTTCAGACACCTTGACTGTATTTTTTTCACCAAAAGAGAGCATTGGGATTTTGGAATAAAAATATGTACAAGTTCTACATTTTCATATACTTAGGCATTACACACACAAAACAAGAGCCACCCTCCCACCCGAAAAAAAAAAGTTTTCCCACAAAAGACAAGAATTTCTAAAACTTCCAATTGATTCAGTCTTCTGTTGGGTGCGAAACAGATGACAAAAATCTATGAGACAAAAATGATAGAAACAAACACACAAAGAAACGTTTACTGTCATTTTATCCACAAAGGGTATGTCTTTTAGCATGAATTAGAAAAGGATTGTGTTCTTTTGCAAAGAGGTGAAGAATCACTTTTTAAAAATCTCCATTTAATCAATGACAAATTTTTTAAAGGTGGATTGCATCAGTCTCAGTTATCTGTACTTTATAAGTATCTTCAAGCCCAAGATGTAGTCCAAACATGAGTTTGCTCCAGGTAGAGAGGAGAAATATCAGTACAGCTTCTCATTGGAGTTCTTTGGTCTGCAGGTTATAGTATTTATTATAGCACAAGTGTGCTAGGCTCTTTATAGTAGGCAAGTAGTAAGAAACTGCCTCAAAAAGCTTGCAATCTAAGAACAAGTCTACACTAACTAGAGAGCCTTTGCCGGTAGAGTTATGCTGGCAAAGCCCCCTAGTGGAGAAGCAACATATCCTGTCAAAGAAGTTCTGCCAACATAGCTACTCCACCTCCCTGAACAGTATTAACTATGTCAACAAAAGCACTTGTCTGTCAATATAGTTCATCTGTGCTGGGGTTTTTTCTGGCATAGTTTTGTGGCTAGGAGGTGTGGGTTTATTCTCACTCCTAGCTGACACAGCTGTGCAGGCAAAATTTTATAATGTAGACCAAGTCTAAGACGCAATGTATAAACAAAACATGGGAGGAGTACAACAAAAAGCCAGTGACTGAACAGTGACATTTAGAAGATCTTGTTAGTTCCAGTTTTCTTGGTTTGATTTTTTTTTTTTTTTTTAGGTTTTTTTGTTCATCAGTTGTGTTCGTCCTTTTGCAGAAAAAGTCTAGAAAGTATGGGCCTCCTCAAGAAGTAAGTTATAAGAGAGGCTTGAAGGAGAAGAGGATGAACCAATCCAGAGAGGGAGGATGCATGGAAAAAGGAGCAGAGATAAAGGAGTGATGAATAAGTGCTTGGGAGGAGTGAAGGAGACTAAGGTCAAGAGAAGAGAAGAGAAGAGAAGAGAAGAGAAGAGAAGAGAAGAGAAGGCAGAAACTAAAATGTGTAGGGCCTTAAAGGAAAAGACAAAGAGCTTAAACTTGATGTGGCAGGTGAGGGGAAGCCAGTGAAGGGATTTGACAATGAGCTGTTCATAGTTGCAGTACCAGGCAAAAAGCATATGACTTTAGCAGCAGTATTTTGGACAAACTGAAAGGGGTGAGTGGCAGATTCAGGGAGGGTAGAGAAGGGGATGCTACAGTAACTTAGATGAGAAAAGAGCATGGCTTGTACAGAATTAATAAACTACATTAATAAAGGATTAAAGAAGGGTAATGACCTAACCACATCAGCCACACCATCCGGGGCTTGTTCACCTGCACATCTACCAATGTGATATATGTCATCATGTGCCAGCAATGCCCCTCTGCCAAGTACATTGGCCAAACTGGACATTCTCTACACAAAATAATAAATGGATACAAATCTGACATCAGGAATCATAACATTCAAAAACCAGTAGGAGAACACTTCAACGTCTCTGGTCACTCAATAACAGACCTAAAAGTGGCAATTCTTCAACAAAAAAACTTCAAAAACAGACTCCAACGTGAAGCTGCAAAACTGGAATTAATTTGCAAACTGGATACCATCAGATTAGGCCTGAATAAAGACTGGGAGTGGTTGGATCATTACAAAACCTAAACTTAATTTCCCCAATATTAATTTCTCCCTACTGTTACTCACACCTTCTTGTCAACTGTCTGTAATGGGCCACTCTCTTGCCACTTCAAAAGTTTATTTTTCCTCCCTTGGTATCCTGATGTTAATTGATTTATCTCGTTAGACTGACCTCACACTTGGTAAAGCAACCCGCATCCTTTCATGTATTTATACCTGTTCCTGTATTTTTCACTCCCTGCATCTGATGAAGTGGGTTCTAGCCCACGAAAGCTTATGCCCAAATATATTTTTTAGTCTCTAAGGTGCCACAAGGACTCCTCGTTTTTTTTTTTAATGTAATTAATGTAAATCAACCTTGACTGATGGAAAATAGATCCTGTCAGACTAACCCAATATCTCTTTCTGATGACATTACAAGTTTGGTTGATAATGGTAATAGTGTTGATGTAATAGACTTCTGTAAGGTGTTTGGCTTGGTACTGCATGACATTTTGATTTAAAAACCTAGAACAATGTAAAAGTAACATGGCACATATTAAATGGATTTAAAACTGGCTAACTGATAGGTTTCAAAATGAAACTTATCAAAATTCAAACTGTAAATGGGGAATCATCATCAAGCAGGCGTGTTTCCAGTAAAGTCCTTCAGGGATCAGTTCTTGGCCCTACACTATTTAACATTTTTATCAATTACTTGGAAGAAATCATAAAATCATCACTGATAAAGTTTGCAGATGACACAAAAATTAGGGGACTGGTAAATAAGGAAGAGGTCAGGTCACTGATTCAGAGTGATCCAGATTGCATGGTAAACTGGATGCAAGCAAACAATTTGTGTGTTAATACAGCTAGAAATAAATGTATACATTCTGGAACAAAGAATGTAGGCCATCCTTACAGGATGGGAGACTCTATCCTGGAAAGCAGTGACTCTGACAAAGAAGTGGGGGTCATGGTTGATAATCAACTGTGCTTGATCTCCCAGTGTGAATCTGTAGCCTAAATAGCTAATATGATCCTGGGATGCAAAATAGGCATTTCAAGTAGGAGTAGAGAGGTTATTTTACCTCTGTATTTGGCTCTGGTGCAACCACTGCTGGAATCCTGTGTCCAGTTCTGGTGCCCACAATACAAGAAGGATGTGGTTAAACTGGAGAGGGTCAAAGAAGAGCCACAAAAATTATGAGAAAATATGCTTATAGCAAAAGACCCAAGGAGCTCAATCTATTTAGGTTAAGGTCTAACTTGGGCACAGTCTATACATATCTATATGGGGAACAAATATTTAATAATGGACACTTCAATCTAGCAGAGAAAGGTATAACATGATCCAGTGATTGGAAGTTGAAGCTAGACAAATTCAGACTGGAAATAAGGTGTAAATTCTTAATGGTGAGAGTCACTAACCATTGGAACAATTTACAAAGGGTCCTGGAGGATTCTCCATCACTGACAATTTTTCAGTCATTATTGGATGTTTTTCAAACAGATCTGCTCCAGGAATTATTTTGGGAAAGTTCTATGGCCCGTGCTACACATGAGGTCAGACCAGATGATCACAACGGTCCCTTCTGGCCTTGGAATCTAGGAATCTATGAATTTTTCAGTGGAAATGCCTTGGAACTGATGGATTATTGGAGATATTGTATGGAAAAACTGCAGGGATAATGGCAGCATAGACAGATATAACAGGAGAGAAATAGGAATAAAAAATGATTGTAAGGGCCATGATTATATGTCTGTGCAAGTGTCAAAGAGATTACATTCAGCTATGGATTATTTACCAGTTGTTCTTGATTTAGGAGGCAGAGGAGGGGATTTGGAGGGACTGGATCCTTATCCACAGCTTTGGAATGGCGTAGGTTAAAGTTCTCCCTCGGAGAATATAGGGTCAAAGAAGTAAAGAATGTATGTTGGGCATGTATGTTTCCCACGGTGAAATTAGTCTCAATCAGTAACTGGGCAACAACGACTCTTACCATCGCCTTTTTTTGCGAAAGTATTGCGAAATATACAGTTCGGCTTGGAGGAAATAATTATAGTTAACCTCTTGAATTCGAAGCTCTCTCTGAGCCTAAGAGTATGTCTACGCTGGCAGAGTTACATCACCAGCAGTTACAGCGCTGCTCAGAGAGCGCTGACGGGAAACCGCTGTTGTGTGTTCACACTTGTGGCACTTGCAGCGGTATTCGGAACAGTGCACTCTGGCAACCTATCCCACAGAGCATCTCTTCCTCTTCCACTGATAAGAGTTGTGGGAAGGCGGAGGGGGTCGCAGGGCATCCTGGGTCCTGTCCCAATGCCCCGTGATGCATTGCTTCGCATCCCAGCAATCACTGTGCGTCCATCCACATTTGGCGCCATCTTTCGATGATTTGTGTACTGCGTGCGCTGTCTCTTTTGGGCTGCAGGAATGGATCCCGAACTGCTGACCAGTATGCTGCTCGCTCTGACCAACATGTCATGGGTAGCAGTGGAATTATTCCTCCAACTAAAAAGGCAAGAGGAGTGCGACAATGATCTCGCCACATGTAGTAGTTACCACATGATATTGCTTGTGGAATTCATGGAGGTGCTGACCACAGTGGAATGCTGCTTTTGGGCTCGGGAAACAAGCACTGAGTGGTGGGATCACATTGTGGTGCATGTCTGAGATGATGAGCAGTCACTGCAGAACTTTTCGCATGAGGAAAGCCACATTCATAGGACTGTGTGATGAGCTTGCCTCAGCTCTGTGGCGCAAGGGTATGAGAATGAGAGCTGTCCTGTTGCTGGAGAAGCACGTGGTTATTGCACTGTGGAAGCTGGCTACTCCAGACTACTACCGATCAGTCGCTAACCAGTTCGGAGTAGGAAAGTCGACTGTTGGAGTAGTGTTGATAGAAGTGTGCAGGGCCATTAACTGCATCCTGCTCTGAAAGACCATGACTCTGGGCAACGTGTGTGAAATTGTGCATGGCTTTGCACAAATGGGCTTACCTAACTGCGGAGGGGCGATAGATGGCACACACATTCCAATTCTGGCACCAGACCACCTAGCCACTGAGTACATTAATCACAAGGGGTATTTCTCTATGGTTCTCGAGGAGCTTGTGGATCACCGGGGGTGTTTCACGGACATTAACGCAGGCTGGTTCGGAAAGATGAATGACACATGCACCTTTTGGAACACTGGCCTGTTCAGGAAGCTGCAAGCCGGGACTTTCTTTCCCGACCAGAAGATCACCATAGGGGAAATCGAAATGCTCATTGTGATCCTGGGAGACCCCTCGTATCCCTTACTGCTGTGGCTTATGACACCATACATGGGGCACCTTGAGAGCAGCAAGGAGCAGTTCAACAACAAGCTGAGCAAGTGCAGAATGACTGTTGAGTGTGCTTTTGGCAATTTAAAGGCCCGCTGGCACTGCCTATATGGGAGGCTGGACCTGGCCAATGACAATATTCCTATGCTTATAGCCGTGTGATGTACACTACATAATATTTGTGAGGGGAAGGGTGAAAGCTTCACTCAGGGCTGGACTGCTGAGGCTCAGCACCTGGAGGCTGAATTTGAACAGTCAGAGATCAGGGCTATTAGAGGGGCGCAGTGCAGGGTCATAAGGATCAGGGATACCTTGAGGCAGCAATTTGAAGCTGAAAGCCACTAATATTTGTTGCTATGCTCAGGAGTGCAGTGCTTGTAATGCTAGGTGGTGATTGTGATGCACTATGAAAATTTTAAGAAAATTGCCTGTTGCTTTTGCAGGGCTCTGTTTGCTTTCAATTAATGGAATAAAGATTGCTTCCAAACCAAAACAATTCTTTTATTAAAAAACAACATCTGGAGGAGAGAGACAAACAAAAAAACACATTAGCACTGTGGGGGATGAAAGAAGGGAGGGTCCCAGGAGGAGGTGGGATCCCGGGATAGTTAAAGCTTTGTGCATGACCAGGTATCATATGCAACCTTGTCCTTTGGAGTACAGTGCAGCGGGTACTGTACTTCAGCAGGGCTTAACTGCAGAGGGACGGGTGTTGAGTGCAGTGGTACTGGGAGTCCGCAGGGCTAGACTGTGACAGGGCAGGAGTGGAATGCAACGGGTACAGACTGGCGCCAGGAGGTTGACAAGAATGTGTTGGCGGTGTCTGGGGGGTGCATGAGAAAGAGTTTTGCGACAGCGGCTGCAGGGGAGGCGGGGCGCGGAGCGGCTCGGTTTGCAGTGCTAGTAGTGCCTGGAGTGTGTCCACTTGGCGCTCGAAATGTTTAAGAGCCGCTCTGTGACTTCATTCTGGTGCGCCGCGTTCTCCTTTTGGTCTCTCTTCTCGCTGTCCCACCACTCCTTCAATTCCTGGTTTTTGGCCGCAGAGCGCATCATCACCTCGCGCAGAAAGTCCTCTTTAGTTCTTCGTAGCCGCTTTCGAATTCTGCACAACCGCTCAGCCGGCGATAACAAAGAGGGAGGCTGGACTCCCAAGATCATCTCTGTGAAGCCAAAATGCAGCAGAGGCAGTATTGTTTGCAACACACAG